AGAAGAAGAAGAAGAAGAAGAAGAAGAAATCAAACAGAAAGCCAGGTGTGGGGTGTACATCTTTCTGAGTTCAAGTTAAGTCTAGTCTACACAATGAGACCCTATCTCAAAAAAAAAGTATCAAAGAACAAAAAGATATAAATCACTGTAAGAAATACAATAAGTCTCTGATAAATGTGATAAATTCTTAACACAATTTCTTATACTTAAGTTTCCTTCTTTGAAGTTACTATAAAGCTCTGACACAACTGCCACAACTTTTAATATTCTTTTGCCTTCAGAGTTAAGAAATTATAGTCTAACACATATCTTGCTCTATACCTGTTATAAACTAACTCAATTTGTTAAAAAAATGATATTCACCATGTCCTAGTTTGTTTTTCATTACTGTGACAAAATACTCTGACCACTACCAACTTGGGGAGGAAAGGGTTTATTTAGCTTACATAACCCGGGTCACAGTTCATCTGGGACCACAAGGTAGGAAAACTCAGGGTAGGAACCTGGAGGCAGGAGCTGGAGTACAGGCCATGGAGGAATGCTGCTTACTGGCTTGCTACCCTGGCCCCTGCTCAGCCTGCTTTCTTATGCAACACAAGCCCACCTGTCCAGGGGTGGCACCACCCACAGTGGGCTGGGCCCTCCCACATCACTCATCAAGAAGGTGTCCCATGGACATGGCCTCAGGCCAGTCCTATGGAGGCAATTCCCCAATTGAGGCTCCCTCAACCCAGGTGTGTCAAGTTGGCACTAAAGCTGTCCAGCACATCCTATAACCTCAGCTCTCTATCAATTGTAATAATAGATATAATTATAACTGTTATAATTATAACTGTTATCTTATATAAATGTTCGGGTAAAGAAATAATGGAGTAATAGTTCTGAACTTCACTTATGTGCTAAACGATCCTCCTCAGGTCCTGAGTTCGCTGTCCTTGATCAACTTTACTAAGTCTGCATATCATCTTCTAGCAGGAACTACTACTCACAGTCATCTGCGCCCTCCTCAAACCCCATTTTAACAACAGTCTTATTTTTCTCCAAAAAGCTGATGCTGGTCCTTTTCTGACTTTTCTTCAGATTTTCAATTTTTCCAGTCTTTCTAGTAGAGAAACTACTTTGTGTTGGGTAATTTTTCAATTTTCAGGACTTGAAAAAAGATGTCTACTGTTACTACGAAAGGTATTTTGTCCCTCCCTGACTTGTTTCCTGAAACAAACCGACGTTTAAGAACACATTACAGGCTAGGCATGGTAGCACATGCATGTGTGTTTAATCCCAGCACTCCAGGAGATAAGAGGTGGGTGGATCTCTGAGATCAAGGTCAGTCTGGTCCCCACATAGTCAGTTCCAGGCCGGCTGTAGCTACAGGAATACGCAGTCTCACT